TTATTTTTTTATTATACAATTAAAAATAATTTTTTTAACTTAACTTACCTCACTAATGTAATATGTAATTTAAATTTAAATTTTAATTATTTTATTTTAAAAAGATTTTATCTCATTTGATTTTTCTTGTATATCATTTCATGTAACAAAATTAGAGGCATTTGCGATTACGGTTGAGCAATGCTAGGGACACTCGCCAATTACACTCTCAAACAAACACTTCCATTTTCATTGGGCCACGTGATTTTAGTTCTCGAGAGGTGATCATTTCACAGCTTATGTAAGCTTAGGTGGCCCAATACAAAGGCATGTGTTCCCAGAGAGTGCAGAAGACGAATGCCCCTAGCAATTGCCGTTGGGGTATATGGTTTTGGACCTATTCAGATTATCATAAATCATTTCGCGGATAAAGACTCAGTTTTCTTTTTTCTTTTTTTTTTTTTGCATTTCTTGTGGCCTATCGGTCGACATTGCAGCCCAACAGATCTGTCGATGACTTACACCTTTTATTAGTGGTCAAATCTTGATAAGAAGAGATACTAACTTAACTTTTAATTTTTACTTTTTAACCATTTTTCTGGTCAAAAACTAAGTTTTTGGTTTTTTTAATTTAAAAAATTGGGGGAATGAGAGGGCGATTAAGGGGTAAGGAGTTTTAAACTTTTTTTTTTTTTTTGATGTAAGGAGTTTTAAACTTTAGTTGTACAGGTAAAACACTCATACGTTAATCACATGGGTTACGTAGACATACACTAGTTGAGTGATGGATTATTGATTAATTTACATTCTTAGTTGGATTTGACGTTGAGATTTGGTTTCCTATAGAATAAAGAGCAATGCTAGGGGCACTGGCTTTTCGGACTCTCCGGGCGACACTTCCCCTTTCATTGGGCCACGTAAGCTTCTTTAAAAGTTTTCAGGCGCAACTTCTTGGGAACCAATCAAACAAGTTAACTTGGCCTAATAATTAAAGAGAAAGTGTTGACCGGAGAGTGCGAAAAGCGAGTGCCCCTAGCATTGCTCTAGAATAAATTGAATCTTGAAGCCTATATAGAATATTATTTAAAACTGTTGGCTGCCGACCTGCAAAAAAGCAAGAAACTGTTGGCTGCTTATTGTTTTAGTTATTATTTGGTCCATTTGGTACTTTAAAAATGTTATTATTTGTGGGAACCTTTCTTGGGATGAGAACTGCATTGTTGATTTAGTGCAGGCAAAAACCGTTTGGTTAAAACTTCTTTTTGGTC